ATAATTGTATGTTTTCCTCTAAGAGTTTTGTTGTTTTATTTCTTACATTCAGGTTTATGATCAACTTTGAGCTCATTTTTGAATTTAGTATATACTTCATTCTTTTTTTGCATGTTGATATCTAGTTGTTCAAGCCCCATTTGTGGAAAAGATTATTCTTTCCTCATTGAATTATCTTGGCATCCTTGTTGAAAATCAATTGGCCATAAATGTATAAGTTTATTTCTGGACTCTGAATTGTATTCCACTGATTTATTTATTTATTTATTTTTTGAAAAGCTTAAAGGTTTATTTTATTTATTTATTTTTTGCTTCAAATGTACTTTTATTATTTTTTTCCATTTATTTTTATTAGTTGGAGGCTAATTACTTTACAACATTGCAGTGGTTTTTGTCATACATTGAAATGAATTAGCCATGGATTTACATGTATTTCCCATCCTGGTCCCCCCTCCCACCTCCCTCTCCACCCCATCCCTCTGGGTCTTCCCAGTGCACCAGGCCCGAGCACTTGTCTCATGCATCCAACCTGGGCTGGTGATCTGTTTCACCCTAGATAATATACATGTTTCGATGCTGTTATCTTGGAACATCCCACCCTCGCCTTGTATTCCACTGATTTATATGTCTACCCTTTTGCCAGTATCACAGTCTTGATTGCTGTAGCTTTGTGTAGTAAGTTTTGCAATTGGAAAGTGTGATTTCTCAAATTTTACTCTTCTTTGCAAGATGATTTTGGCTATTCTGGGTCCCTTGAATTTCCTTAAGAATTTTAGTATCACCTGGTTCATTTCTGTAAGAAATAAGCTGGAATTTTTATGGAGAGTGCATTGACTCTGTAGCTCAGTTTAGGGAGTTTTGATATGTTAAAATATTAAGTCTTATGAACCATGAACACGGGATGTTTTTCCATTTATTTAGATCTTTATTTCTTTCAACAGTGCTTTGAAGTTTTCAGAGGATAAGGTTTATACTTCTTTTGTTATTTATTTATAAATGTTTTATTCTTTCCAATGTCACTGTAAATGGAATTTTTTATTTCATTTTTTAGTTGTTACAAGTGTATAAATATACAATTGATTTTTCTACATTGCTGTTGTAGCCTACAACTTGCTGAACTCATTAGTTCTAATATTTTTTAAGTAGATTTCCTAGGATTTTCTATATGTGAGATCATGTTGTCTATGAGTAGAAATAGTTTTACATTTTGCTTTTCAGTCCAGTTGCCTTTTATTTCTTTTTCTTGCCTTATAGCCTTGGTTAGAACCTCTAGTACAGTGTTTAATAGATATGATGAAGAGAACATTCCTGTCTTATTTCTTATCTTGGGGGAAAGCATCCATTCTTTCACCGTTAGGTATGATGTTAGCTGTGGATTTTTCATAGATGGATGATGTTTGAGAAAGTTCCCTTCATTCCTAGTTTGTTAAATGTTTTGTTTTGTTTTTAATCATGAAGCGGTGTAGGATTTTGTGAAATGCTTTTTCTGCCTCATCTTAGTCCATTTGGGCTGCAGTAACAAAATATCATAAACTGGACAGTTTATGAACAATGGAAATTTACATAGTTTTGGCACCTGGAAGTCCAAGATCATGGTGCCAGTGGGTTTGTGTGGTGTCTGGTGAGGGCTTTCCTCCTGCTTCATAGCAAGTGTCTTCTCACAGTGTCCTAACTTGGTGGCAGAGGATTCACAAGCTCTCTGGAGCCTGTTTTCTAAAGACACTCATTCCATTCATGAGGGCTCCACTCTCATGATCTAAGTACTTCCCAAAGGCCCCACTTCCTAATACCATCATCTTTGGAGGTTAGGATGTCAACATATGAATTTTGGGTGGACACTTCACATTCAGACCACAGCATGAATTTATTGAGATGGTCATGTTTTTTATTTTTTTCTATCAATATGGTGTGTTAGAGTAATTGATTATTGGATGTTAAGCCACCCTTGCATTGGTGGAATAAACTCACTTGGTCATGGTGTACAATAACCCTTTTCATATGTTATTGAATTTATTTTGCTAAAATATTGTTGAGGATTTTTGTATCTATAGTCATAAGAGATCGGAGAAGGCCATGGCACCCCACTCCAGTTCCCTTGCCTGGAAAATCCCGTGGACGGAGGAGCCTGGTGGGCTGCAGTCCGTGGGGTTGCAAAGAGTCGGACATGACTGAGTGACTTCACTTTCACTTTTCACTTTCATGCGCTGGAGAAGGAAATGGCAACCCACTCCAGTGTTCTTGCCTGAAGAATCCCAGGGACGGGGGAGCCTGATAGGCTGCTGTCTATGGGGTCACACAGAGTCGGACACGACTGACGCGACTTAGCAGCAGCAGCAGCAGCAGCAGCTGTCACAAGAGATATTGGTCTGGGGTTGTCTTTCTTGTGCGATTTGTTTGTCATCAGCATAATACTGGGCTTATAAAATGAGTTGGGAGGTTTTCTTCCTTCTTCTGTTTTTGGGTTTGTGAAGAATTGGAATTAATTTGTTGAACGTTTGGTAGAATTCACCAGGGAAGCCATTCTGGGCCTGAGGTTTTTTCCCCTGGGAAATTTTTAAATTACTGAGTCAATCTTTTTACTTGTTATAAATTTTTTCACATTTTCCGTTTTTTTCCTAAATGAGTTTTTCTAGTTTGTGGCTGCCTAGGAATATGTGCCTTTCATCTAAGTTCTCATTTGTTGGAATACAGTTGTTCATAGTATTCACTTATAATACTTCTTATTTCTGTAGAGTTGATAGTAATATCCTCTTTATCATTCCTGATTTTGGTAACTTGAATCTTCTCTCTTTTTTTTCTTTTGGTCCATCTAGCCGAAAGTTTGTCAATTTTGTTGATATTTTCCAAGAGCCAACTTTTGTTTTTGTTGATATTTCTCTGTTGATTTTCTATCCTTTTCTCCCCCCACCAGTTTCTACTGGTGAATAACAATTATTCACCCATTGTTTTAAATCACACTGTCATTATATCATTCTTCCTCCTTTCTCTCCTTTCAGATGAAAAGGAGGGGCATAGGAGGCCCTGCACAGTTATAATTATCTATGCAAAGTGTGCAGTTATGGGACTCAGACATACAGTTCCCCCCCACCCCCACCCCGTGGTCAAAAATAGAAAAAAGTTAACAACTTAATATATTTGACTTTGAGTGTATACATCATATCTAGTGCCCAGAAATTTGAGTGTTACTCCTTAGTCCCAGGTGTTGGCTTTGTTCTAGGGTGTGAATTAAAGTAAGTAGTTTCCCCTTTTGCCTGGTAAATATTGTTAAGCATCTCCTGTGTCCAGCAGCATGCTAACCCCAGTACCTTTCCTGTAGTACATAAAACTTGTTGAGTAAGAAAGCATCATCTATAACAGGCATGAAAGATAAGAATGAATTTGCTAAGTCTTTCTTTCTTGCTAAACTTCAGCTAAGTTTTAAGCCACATTACTTTACCAAAAAAAAAAAAGAACAATAATTTAATACAAATTAGAGACTAGGGTGGCAGAAGCGAAGAAGTATAAGATCCTTCAGATTCAGATTCAGATCAGAAGATTCAGATCCTGCCCTTTGGAATTCTCTAGTGAGATAAACAGGCCATCCTGTTGGAACAGTCAGGGAACCCCAGGAGGTGGTGTGGGCCCCGTTCTAGGAGACGTGATGGCATTTCAGCACCTGAGAGAACCCTGAGGCCTGGAGTTGGTCCAGGAGGACACATGTTCACTTAGTGGAATGTCTGCAGCCACTTCTGTTTTTCCTCAATACCAGTCTGTCTTCACTTCACAGTGGCCGTGATACAATTAGCAAAACAGGGAGGTCAGGTAGCTGTTGGATAGTGACTATTTGCCCACAGTCCTGCTTACCTTCCTCTCCTGTGGCCGAAAGTGGCTCATTCTGGATCTCTCTGGAGGCTGCGCCATGACTAGCATCACACATCAACATAAAGCACATTTTCTAAGCAAGCAGTCTCATGATTTGGGGCTGTGGGGGGTCTTCATTGCTGCACAGAGGCTCTTTTTTCTAGTAGTAGGGGCTACTCTTCATTGAGATGCGCAGGCTTCTTATTTCTGTGACTTCTCTTGTTGAGGAGCAAGGGCTCAGAGTCTTGGTCCATGGGTTCAGTAGTTGTAGCTCACAGGCTTAGTTGCTCCACAGCACGTGGGATCTTCTGGAGTAGGGATTGAACCCATGTCCCGTGCATTGGCAAGCAGATTCCCAACCACTGGACCACTGGGGGAGTCCCCTTAAAGGATTTTATTTTCCAAAAGCCCCACGGAAGTTTCTTGTATCCTTGGAAGAATGTTCAGAGCTGTCTCTGGGAGGCAGCACTGACCCGTTCAGACTGAGCCCTGGACCCCAGTACAGGTGTCGGAGGGAGGACCAGAATAGGAATGAAGAGTAGAAGCCACATGGGTGTTTATCTGTGTCCACACGCGTGCCTGGCGGGTCACGCTCATTGTATGTAGGACCCACGGATGCTGCCATTTCGGGGCACTTGGAGCTCAACACACAATAACGAGAGTGGTGTTTTGGTGGGAATCCAGCTAGAGAACGTACTTTTAGTCTGACCCAAATTATCTTCTGTACTTTCAGTTTTGATTAAAGTCCTTGCACTTCCTGTTCTGGACTTGAGTGCTGAGATGTGCTGGAGAAATCCCCCACGTTCCACACCACGGGGTGGCTGTGTTTCCATGCAAGCCCTTAGCCTTATTTAGACTTAATTTGAGTGCTGTTGTGCTTCGGGTTGTGTTTGATGATCGGAGGCCTGTAGCCAGTGTTTATTTATGAGGCTCTTAACTTTATAGCAAAAGGAACTCAGTAACTGTCACCTTTATTTATAGCCCCCAGAGTCACATTTCAGTTTGTGCCCATGTGTAAGCATTTGTTTTTCCCATGTACTGCTGTCTTGAGTGTGCAAATACTATTTTTAATTTCTATACTTACTATTAAGCTCTGAAACTCCTTTTCACGTTTTTGTGTAATATATCCAGTTATATAAATGCCAGTGTTTACTTTACAGAACGTGGAGGTCCTGGATCCTCGAGGTCGTACCTTGTTGCATCTTGCTGTTTCTTTGGGACATTTGGAATCTGCCAGAGTCCTGCTCCGACATAAAGCAGATGTGACAAAGGAAAATCGCGAGGGTTGGACAGGCAAGTGTACTAGTGAAATAGCGTAAAGCCTTCCATTTTGTTTTCTCTCTCTGAATAAAGGATAGCCTCAGTCCTTATTGTCCTCAGAGTCATCTTTCTCTTGAGCTCTGTCTCTCTGGGGACTCAGGGAGGGGAAGGAGCTGAGAGCCTCGGAGGCCACTGGCTTGTCTGCAGCACAATGGTCCCGGTTGTGTCCTGGGCCAAGCGCCCAGGGTGGAGGGTGACTCCTCATCCAGAAAGCAGCTCTCAGGGCACCAGACACGAGTGCGAACACCCGGTTTCCCCTGAGGAACGTGGCCATAACTCCAGCAAATCCATCATGATGGACAATCAGAAGGAAACGATAGGCAGTTTGAATCGCCACGTGATGAAGGAGTAGGCGGCGGGCTCTCGCTGAGTGCCTGACTAGTCCTTTCTCTGCCTTACTTGTTTGAGCCTCAGCACAATTCGGAATGGCTGACGGTAAGGCTGGGAAGGACTCTGGAGAGGCCAACACAAAGGTGCTTTCTCATTCGCAGAGAGTCAGTTTGCAGTTCCCGGGGGCCCATATTCATCCATGCCTGAAATCTAGGACCATCGGCCATGGACGTGTGGACGTGACTGCCGCTGTGTATAGCACAGCCATCCTGGAGTACCTCACCGCAGAGGTGCTTGAATTGGCAGGACATGTGTCAAAAGACTGGAAGGTAAGGTGTATTACGTCTCGTCACTTGCAACTTGCTATTCGTGGAGATGAAGAATTGGACTCTCTCATCAAGGCTACAGTTACTGGTGGTGATGTCAGTCCACACATCCACAAATCTCTGGGAAGAGAGGACAACAGAAGCCTGGATTCCTCATTATCTCAGGACTCTGAATACCCCTACAGCTATCCAGTGTTGGTGATTCCAGTGGACTGTATCTCTGGGAATAACACAATTTTGCCTTTTTTGTAATTCTGTTTGAGCAAGTTGGAAGCTTAATTAGCTTTCCAACAAGCCAAATTTCTGCATTCGAGTCTTAACTATGTTTTAGTGTTACAGAAACTATTGATTCTGAAGTAGTGAGTTTTGATTGAGTTGACTGTTTTTGAAAAACTGTTTGGATTTTAATTGTGATGTAGAAATTATAGTAACAAACATTTGGTTTGGTACAGACATTTTTTCTGTACCAAAAAAAAAATGTGGTGGATAAGCTAAATAAAGGTCATATCTCACCCCACTCCCTGGCCAAAAAAATTTATAGCTGAAAGTAGTATCCTTCTCCAGTGAAATCCTGGGACTTCACTTGTTTTGAGACTGGAGATTCCTTTGAACTTTGAGGAGATCAAACCAGTCAATCCTAAAGGAAATCAACCCTGAATATTCATTGGAAGGACTGATGCCGAAGCTCCAATACTTTGGCCACCTGATCGAAAACCCAACTCATTTGGGAAAAACTCTGATGCTGGGAAAGATTGAGGGCAGAAGGAGAAGAGGGTGGCAGAAGATGAGATAGTTGATAGCATCACCGACTCAATGGACATGAATTTAGGCAAACTCCCAGAGACACTGAAGGACAGAGGAACCTGGAGTGCTGCAGTCCATGGGATTGTGAAGAGTCAGTTAGAACGTAGCAACAAAACAATAACAACACTTATTCTGCAAGCTCTCCTACTACTGGTCCCAGTAATGTGGGGTTGACTGAGCAAGAATGCACACAACCTGCCTACCCATCTCCACAGCTGTGTGATCACACAGTGAAAGCCAGCTCTGAAGACACCGTCAGGATTTCAGAGTCAGTAGTAAGAAACAGGGGAAAGAGAATAATGGCAGGTTTGCTCAAGAGGCTGAGAGTACTCTGTTCTCTTCTCAGTCAGGTAGGGGTTAAAGTAAGTAGTGGTGGTCATGAAGATTGGGTGGGGCTGGAGCCTCTGTCCCACTTTAAAGAAATCGTTTGGCCTTCCATGCAGAGAGATACTTTTCAAGCTGGCTTTGGAATTTGTGAGTAAGTATGAGAATACAGGGTGATCAGATTACATCTTTTTGCCTTCCAGTTTTGCATGAGGCTGTGAGCACCGGCGACCCCGAGATGGTGTACACGGTCCTTCAGCATCGGGACTTCCACAACACGTCCATGGCCCTTGAGGGAGTTCCGGAGTTGCTCCAGAAAATTCTCGAGGTAGCCATAAAAACTGACAGCGCCATCAGTGGAGTTAAATGCTGACACAGCAGCCGCAGGCAGAGTGTGACATCCTTGTGCGCCTTCCCAGACGGTTTTAAGGATTGTGAAAACAATGTATTGAATACCAAATAGTGTGATTCCTTGCTTTTGGATCTGTTAAATGTATGATGTCTTTCACAAAGTATGTTTCCAGGTCACTAGACCGACTCTTTTAAATGCTATTTAAAAGTTAGAACTAAAGGCAAATGGACATCAGGCAATTAATTTGTCTAGCTGCCTGTTTTCTTAACAGTAGCATCCTGAGCTCAGGTCATCTTGGGGAAATTGTAATGAACTTCATTACTGTCTGGGGATTGTCAGGGCCTGTTGAGGCTCAGAAGTCTGTGTGCAGCTCTCCTTGACACCTCTGTCACTTCTAGCCAGTAGTATTTTGTGACTTCTGATCCATTGCCTGAACTTAGAGTTACTAGCTTTGGGGCAATTTATCTGTCTTGTGAGTTAAAGGGATGGGCTCTGTAACACTTGGAGAAGTTTCTTAAAAGATTTTAACTTCTAGGCTCTTTATTTATTTGACCTCACTGGGTCTTAGTTGCAGCACGTGGGCTCTTCAACCTAGCATGCAAGTTTTTTAGTTGCAGCATGGGAACTCTTAGTTGTGGCATGTGGGATCTAGTTCCCTGACCTGGGATCAAACCCCCAGCCTCCTGCATTGAGAGTGCAGAGTCTTAGTCACTAGAGCATCAGGAAAGTCCCTCTTGGATTGTTTGGGATGATGGTTACCATTGTTCAGGTAGCCTTTGTCACTTGCAGTAGCTGTCTTATTGGTCAGCCATGTGCAGTATTCCTGAGGCAGCCAGCGGTTCAGTTTTCACGTCATTTATTCTCAGTTTAAGCACAGAAGTGAGCTCCCCCAAGCATTTCCAAAGATACTTGCTAGATAAATCAGCTTCCCACACTTCTTGAGAAAAATTAACAGCTCTGTTGAGAAGAGGAATAACTTTGCTGTGAGACAATTTGAGCATTCTTCTTAAAAAACTATTAACACTTAAGCTAAATCCTGCCTAAGACATTGATTTTCCACATACTGCACAGAAACCATCCATGAAATATAAGTTGTTGTGTCCATTGATTTTTAAATAGATACGTGTGAGTGCACAAAGATCACATAGATTTGTTTTCTTATCTAACTCACTGTAGGAGGAACTAAAAACATCATCTGTTCATTTGACAAAGCAGAAAATGACTTATTTTACCTAGTCACCCCCCATTTTAAAATTCCATGTAAAAGACTTTTTTTTCACCTGTGTTGATCCATAGCAGTGAACTGCCCTGAATTATACCCTGTGTTGGAGGTTATAGACAGCTCACAAATGACCTGGTGCTCCATGGCACCAGAGACCATGCCTAACGTGGCCTGTCTTTCAACAGCATCTCCTCACTGCATGTCCATGTTTCTTTTCCGTTGTCCCTTGGAGTGACTTCACCCATCTTTGGAATCCGGAATTTCTAGCTTTTATCTTCTTGGGTTTCTCAAGTAGCTCTCCCAGAACTTTCTTTAGGAATTCATGGTGGGTCAGAAAATGATTCTAAACAGGCTTGCTGTGGTGGTATGAAACCTCAAAAAGCCAGAATCTAGAAGTTTAAGAGGAAAAAGTCTGGAGGGAAGACTCAGCCTCCTGGGGCAGTGATGTCTCACACCCTCCTCCTGGTTTCAGGGTGGTCTGATAAACAGCCCCCGTCCCAGCACACGAGCCTTTTGCAGTCAAGCTCCCTGTAAAACAGCTGGGGTCCACGCTCCTTCTCTTTGCTTACACCAGCCTGTGACCCTCACTGCTAGGAACCCAACTGAACTCTTAAATCGGATTTGACTTTTATCTCTGTCCAACCTTGTCGCCTGCAGTTAACTTTATTAACTGTCTAGACGTATTTTATAGTGAGATAAAATAACAGCCTGAATATAAAAATAGGCATTTAGTCTGATGGGTTTGCAATTTATTTTTATTCTTATTTTCTCTGTTCTTTCTCCCTCTCTCTTTTGAACAACCCTATCAACCCTTACTGTGTTTGTGTTTAGCTAATGGTACCAAGGGTAATTTAGTTTGTTTTATTTTTTAAATTAATTTTTATTGGAGTATAGTCAATTTACAATGTTGTGTTAGTTTCTGATAGCAGGACTGATTCCTTTTAAACCTTTGTCCTTCAGGCTCCGGATTTTTATGTGCAGATGAAATGGGAATTCACCAGCTGGGGTGAGTGGTTGTGAGCTTGAAATTTATTTAGCTTGAAAATAGGCTTATTTTTCTTTTATGAAAGTTACATATTTATTTTTTAAGTCTAGGAAATGCATAGATGAGAGTAACAGTCGCCCACAGTCCTACTTAAGCACAAGTGCTTACTGTTGTAGGCGTGTTCCTTCCAATCTTACCCCACACGCATGGGACTTTTTCTCCCAAGCATTCGTCAATAGAATATATAGACAATTTTGTCTCCTTTTGTTACCTGTGGCTGACATTTATCCATATTATTCATTTTTTAAAATGTCACTTTAAAGGGGCTAAAGTCTTTAGTAAGTAGTTTTATCATAATTCCATTACTCATTTCCATATGTAGTTCAATGTGATTCTTTTAAACTTGTTTTTCTAAGGAAGAAGATGAATATTGGAATATTGGAATAGCTCATTTTTTAACAAAATGGATGCATTGCTCCAAAATCTTATGTAAGGCAAATTGACTGACAGTAATTTTCCTAGATGTTCTACTTCTGTGTCTTGTAGATCAGTTAATGACAGCTTCCAGCTCCCAGAGCCTCAGCTATTTTCACTTCCAGACTTCCCTTTCAGGCACGAAGTCATATTTGCCATGAAACATTTAAACGAAGTAAAAAGTATATGAAAGAAGAGAACTTCAGAGTCTTCTATAAATCTGAGTTCTTTTTAATGAAGATAATCACCCTGACCCCAGGTTTTTGTTAAAAAGCAGCATATTTTAGATATCTGATCTCATGAATCGTTGGAATGACAGTATAGTGGGTTGAGGCCAGATGGCAAGAGTAGCATGTGTTTTGGATGAGGACGACCAGAGGGACACACACTAGCCCTGATGGCGGTCAATAAGAGGGGTTCATTTGGGACTGAGAACACACTCGAGAAATTGATTTAGCGTTTTCTCTGGGCAAGACATAGATCTGCAGTTTTATAAATGGCTCTAGAACTGAAAGTCTGCTTTCATTCTTTAAGAATGACTTCTTGTATCTTAAGCATGGGAGCCAGGCCCAGTTCTGTATGACCGTCGGCATCCTGCCCCTCCTGTCCTTTCAGTAAAGTCAGGGTCCTGATTTGCAGGGCCTGACTGTTCTGCCAGGCCCCCAGACTTTTCTCAGTAGTACACATCTCTTCTCCAGTGCCCTTGGTTTCCCGAATATGCCCGAATGATGTCTGTCGCATTTGGAAAAGCGGTGCCAAACTGCGTGTGGATATCACGCTGCTGGGCTTTGAGAACATGAGCTGGATAAGAGGGAGGCGGAGTTTCATCTTTAAAGGAGAAGGTGAGGGGTTTCCCTTGTAGTCGCCACTGCTGTTGCTAAGTTCAGAGTGATTTTTCACCATCGAAATTTGTTCACGTGTGTGTGTCTGAGTGAAAGATGATGCAGCTTAATACACGAAGCTTTGGTTTTGCATCTTCCTTGCACTGTGCTTAGTTATGCACTTGTTTCCGTTAACAGACAACTGGGCAGAGTTGATGGAAGTCAACCATGATGACAAAGTGGTCACCACTGAACACTTTGACCTTTCCCAGGAAATGGAACGCCTCACTCTGGACCTGATGAAACCTAAAAGCAGGGAGGTTGAGAGGCGGCTCACAAGCCCCGTCATTAACACCAGCCTCGATACTAAAAACATTGCTTTTGAAAGGTACGGATTTAAGTTCTGCATTTTCATGTCTAATCCCATTACTGCCATCTTTATAGCATGTATATATTAATTGGAAATTATGGGTGGATTAGAATTTTTTTCTACTATGGCGTAAGAAACCCTAGTGGACTTTAAAGTTGATCTCTGCTCCAGCCAAATGGATACCACAGCTAACATCCTCCACCATGTGGCATTTTTATCACACTTTGGTGAAGTCTTGGAGAAACATCTTCATATTCTTTTATGGGCCCTTTTCTAACGGATTTTACTTGAATTTGGTTTTTGTGTTTGGCAGTCCACAAGGCTCCCTTGTCCTAAACCGTGGACCTTTGAGTTTCCAAGGCAGAAGTGATCCAGAATCGAATGTGGTTATTGATCAGATTCACACTTGGCATACAGTTCAATGTGGTTCTCCCCCTTGCCCGCCCTCTGCTTCCCCATGAGGCCTAACGGTTTTGAGCAAGAGTCTGGAGGGTTTCAGTTTGATTCCAGACTTTGTTTGGTGCAACCTCTGGGGAGGTCTGTGTGGTGGTTAAGCCAGGTGAGAACGCCGACTCGGTGTCTTCCCCAGGGGCGGCGCCAAGGCGGGGAGGGCTTCGTGAGGGAGACAGAGGCTGTCACAGCTATTAGTTAGGCTAAGAGTTTGTTCCAGAGATCACACTGAACCCAGGGAGTCTCCACGAGCCCTGAGTGTTTGCCTAGGATGTCACATCCCGCTCCCTGTAGACCAAAGCCGCATTGTCTGAGCCGACACAGACAGTGTTCACCTGGACTCGGGCTGTCTTCTCTCTTAATGAGCATGTGAACTGTTCTTTTTCTTTTCATCTTTCTTTCCAGTAGAAAATTTACTACTAAAACCAAGAGTCTTCTGTGTAGTCACATGTTAAGACTTAAGTGCCCCTTCCCCCTAATTTAGACCAAGCTGTGGAATTAGGGTGCTTGTTGGTAGCAGAAGAGAAAACGTCAGGTATCTGCTGCCTTGGGGACACCCTGAGGCAGGGTCAGTGCCCTTTCGTCAGCCTCTGGGCACCAGTCTCACCAGGTGACAGCCGCTGTCTTCCCAGGACAGTAAGGTTTAGGGACTGACCATACCTGGAAGGGTCTTGGGAAGACATCTCCAGGCTTGAGCACCTGCCTCTGCAGGGCGGGAGGGCCCGCCTGCTTAGGGCTCTGCTCCGAAAGCTGGCAGACGGGAGAGCAAGGGCTGGAGGAACCTGGCGTGACTGGTAGAGCTGCTCCCTCTGCGGCTTTGAGCCAGCGGCTTCCTCTCCGGGTTTCTGTTTCCTTAGCTGAAAGGAGAAAAAGAGTGAATCTTGGGCTGAAATCTCAGATGTCATGAGAAGAGCCACTGTTGCCTCTAGTTCAGCGGCAGAGCTGCAGGGTCATTGTTTGGTCCAAAGTGTCGTTTACAGAGAGGTGATGGTTAATGGCTGTTACCCAGCGGGTAGACGAGCAATGACCGTGCCTTCCGTTTGTACTGAGTTGTATTTTGTATTCCTGTGGCCTCGGGGTTTTCAGATAGTTCAGGCTAACCCTCCTTTTGCAGCTGATGGAGGGTTGCTGAAAGAGAGTTTTCTGGAAAGCAGCTGCTGTTTTGGTGGGGCTCGGAATGAAATATGTGCTCAGTGAGTTTATCGTGCTTCGAGCAAGGACTTGAGCCCCTCACGAGGGTGAGGTTTGCTGGTAGAAATAGAAAAGGTGTGCTTGCCTACTTCTTACCCTAGTGAGGTGTGAGCGAGTGTTCAGCTGATTAAATTTAGCAGATGAGGGTCTGATGTATTCAGATAGTCTCTTTCTTCCCTTTCTTTCTTCTCATCTGTCACTCGGAGCTTGATGTTTGCAAACATGTACTTTTCCCACGTTCAAGTTTGGCCTGTGGGTATAGACCCTCTGTTTGCAGTTTCGATTTTTCTCTCGTCTGAAAGGTTCCTGCCCTGCCCACCTCAAACAGAACCCAACCTGTGAGGCAGCCTCCAAGTCCAGCACCAGCTCAGCGGCCTTTGGGGTGCTGGTCTCAGTGGAGACAGGCAGAGGAAAAATGGCCGAAGAAGAGGCTGGGTTTCCTCCTGTCATTTTCAGATACCTTTGCACATACAGTTTATCAAGAAGTTAAAACCAGAATCTTGGGTTTTAAAACAGGATGTAGACATTGAGTTCAGTAACTAAGCTGTCAGAGAGTGGACATGGGGAAGGCAAAGGAGCAGCTGGGGTGGCGGATGGTGCAGAGGTGGGTGAGTAAGGAGCCTGGCGGTTCCCAGAGAGAAAGCATGGTTCTGATTTCTCAGCATCCACAAAGGATGCCATGGAGCAGACTGGGTCATCCTTTGGTTCCTCAGAAGACCAGGTGCCAGAAAGCTATGATTTCTTATGCCAGGATATCGAGTTCTTACTGAGAGACAGGAACTGAGGATCGATCGGTTCCCCCAAAGGAAGATCTGAATTTTCATTGATCGCTGACCAAAAGGGGCCTTGGGTTTATTGATCAGTTAGGTGTGGTCCCTAAATGTGTTTCTGGAAAGTGAATTGGAGACAGCTGGCCTGCAGGGTCATCCCCTAGGAGCCCTCCCTTTCCTTGAGTGGGTCACACTGCATTCAGTTCAGTCCAGTCGCTCAGTTGTGTCCGACTCTTGGCGACCCATGGACTGCAGCACGCCGGGCTTCCCTGTCCATCACCAACTCCCGGAGCTTACTCAAACTCATGTCCGTTGAGTCGGTGAAACCATCCAACCTTCTCATCCTCTGTCGTGCCCTTCTCCTCCTGCCCTCAATCTTTCCCAGCATCAGGGTCTTTTCCATTGAGTCAGTTTTTCACATCAGGTGGCCCAAGTATTGGAGCTTCAGCTTCAGCATCAGTCCTTCCGATGAATATTCAGGACTGATTTCCTTTAGGATTGACTGGTTTGATCTCCTTGCTGTCCAAGGGACTCTCAAGAATCTTCTCCAACATCACAGTTCAAAAGCATCAGTTCTTCAGCAGCACAGCTTTCTTTATGGTTCAACTCACATCCATATGTAACTACTGGACAACCACACTTTTGACTAGACAGACCTTTGTTGGCAAAATAACATCTCTACTTTTTAATATGCTGTCTAGGTTTGTCATAACTTCTCTTCCAAGGAGCAAGCGTCTTTTAATTTCATGGCTGCAGTCACCATCTGGAGTGATTTTGGAGCCCAAGAAAAGAAAGTCTGTCACTGTTTCCATTGTTTCCCCATCTATTTGCTGTGAAATGATCGGACCAGATGCCATGATCTTAGTTTTTGAATGTTGAGTTTTAAACCAACTTTTTCACTCTCCTCTTTTACTTTTATAAAGAGGCTCATTAGTTCCTCTTCACTTTCTGTCATAAGGGTGGTGTTGTCTGCATATCTGAGGTTATTGGTATTTCTCCTGGCAATCTTGATTCCAGCTTGTGCTTCATGCAGCCTGACACTTCGCATGATGTACTCTTCATTTTAGTTAAACAAACAGGGTGACGGTATACAGCCTTGACATACTCCTTTCCCGATTTGGAACCAGTCTGTTGTTCCATGTCCAGTTCTAACCGTTGCTTCTTGACCTGCATACGGATTTCTCAGGAGGCAGGTCAGGTGGTCAGCTATTCTCTTTAAGAATTTTCCACAGTTTGTTATGATCCACACTGTCAGAGGCTTTGGCTTAGTCAATAAAGCAGAAGTAGATGTTTATCTGGAACTCTCTTGCATTTTTTGTGATCCAGCAGATGTTGGCAATTTGATCTCTGGTTCCTCTGCCTTTTCTAAATCCAGCTTGAACATTTGAAAGTTCTCAGTTCACGTACTGTTGGCGCCTCACTTGGAGAATTTTGAGCATTACTTTATTAGTGTGTGAGATGAGTGCACTTGTGCAGTAGGTTGAACATTCTTTGGCATTGCCTTTGTTTGAGATTGGAATGAAAACTGACCTTTTCCAGTCCTGTGGCCACTGCTGAGTTTTCCAAATTTGCTGGCATATTGAGTGCAGCACTTTCACAGAATCATCTTTTAGCATTTGAAATAGCTCAACTGGAATTCCATCACCTCCACTAGCTTTGTTTGTAGTGATGCTTCCTGAGGCCCACTTGACTTCACATTCCAGGATGTCTGGCTCTAGGTGAGTGATCACACCTTTGTGGTTATCTGGGTCATGAAGATCTTTTTTGTATAGTTTTTCTGTGTATTCTTGCCACCACTTCTTAATATCTTCTGCTTCTGTTAGGTCCATATCATTTCTGTCCTTTATTGTGCCCATCTGGCATGAAATGTTCCCTTGGTATATCTAATTTTCTTGAAGAGATCTCTCGTCTTTCCCATTCTGTTGTTTTCCTCTATTTCTTTGCATTGATCACTGAGGAAGGCTTTCTTATCTCTCCTTGCTGTTCTTTGGAACTCGGCATTCAGATGGGTATATCTTTTCCTTTTCTCCTTTGCCTTTCGCTTCTCTTCTTTTCTCAGTATTTGTAAGGCCTCCTGAGACAGCCATTTTGCCTTCTTGCATTTCTTTTTCTTAGGGATGGTTTTGATCATTGCCTCCTGTACCATGTCACTAACCTCCATCCATAGTTCTTCAGGCTCTCTGTCTATCAGATCTAATCCCTTGAGTCTATTTGTCACTTCTACTATATAATTGTAAGGGATTCGATTTAGGTCATACCTGAATGGTCTAGTGGTTTCCCCTACTTCCTTCAGTGTAAGTCTGAATTTTGCAGTAAGGAGTTCATGATCTGAGCCCCAGTCAGCTCCGGGTCTTGTTTTTGCTGGCTGACGTTGCACTAAGGCAGATGATGAACAGGAGAGCCAAGGCTCTGTCCCCTCCTTTCTGTGATGGGCTCTAATACACACCTAAAACTCCTTCTCCCCATCCTGGACTAATTGCTTTGACCAGATCTCATCAGAAGAAAAGCAGACTGTTTAGAAAAACAGGGTGCAGGTCACGCCCTCCCTGCCACCTGTGTGTGCCCCGCGTCACCCCAGGGTCGGGGCGGGAGGCAGGCCCACGTGCAGCAGTCACAGCGGAGCTGGGATGTGATGTCCTAGACAAAGGGCCGTCTGGGCAGGGCTGCCCGGGGCGTGGTAGCGTTTCCCAGGGTGCGCTGCCTTGGAAACGATCCACAGCCTCTTGGCTGCTTTTGGTTCCTAAATGCATTTTTTTCCAGGCATATATTGAGTGGAGTAATGAGGGGTTCAGGCACTTAACCCAAGGCTGCAGCTGCTGCTGAAGTGCTGACTGCTTTAAAGCAGCTTCAGCTTAGGTGGACTCGAGGGCTAGGCTAAAAAGCCGCTTGAGACTTGGTTCCGCCCACTGCTGCACCAAACCGGAGACAGAGTGTGCCTCCCAAGCCTTTTTACTGGTGCGCACGGCTTCTGCAAGCAGCTCCCCACAGCCATGAATTCCCGCCCCACCCTCTTTCTCCTTCCCGAGGAGCAGGATGGCCTGTGCCTCACGGATCTGAGAATTCCTAGACTGAGATACGGCTGCTCGAGGGGCTGGACTGCCAACTCTGTCATTGCCCGTGGTCCGGATGACCCCATAAGGGCTCCCCGACCTAGTGGCGAGCCCTTGGACGCTGGTCATCTGCGCGCACTCCTCCGAGACAGCTGCCCCATGAGTGCCACCACCTTTGTCACCTCTGCCGGCAGCTTTTGTCCCGAAGCCAAGATGGGAGGCTTTCTCTGCCGAGGGGGCGAGGCCAGTTGATGAATAACTGCGGGAGGGGGTGCGGGGGAGCTGCTAGAGCCACCTGTCATTAACAACATCCTTCCGTGGACAGAGGGACCCTAATTTCCAAGTGTCCTTCGCTCACTTAAGCTGGGGGAAGAAAACCTGTAAAGGCTGCAGGGATGAATCTGAATGGCATATTGTACATGTGGAAATTTGTGGTGTTCACTTTTTATCAGAACTAAATCCGGATTCTGGGGCTGGAGGACAGATAAAGCAGAAGTTGTTAATGGTTACGAAGCAAAGGTAAAAGGACACTCTTAAAATAAGATTTCATTCGGCTCTTTAGCTTCTATGCAAATGAGGGGTCTGTTCCCGACTTTGTCGTGCATCTGTGCTGAGGAGGTGCTCGGGGGAATAAGTCTGTCTAGCGTGTCTCTTCCTTGGATTTGTATCTTATTTGACTCGCAGAAGGTGAGATAGCACATCCCAAGGAGGTCTCTAGTTAGGCCAAAGAGAAACTGTGCTGTAGAGAAATCAGTCCCAGTATCAGTTGTCCTGGTGGGGGTGACAATTTTTTTCTTTAAAAACAAAAGGAAAAGAAAGAACTAGACTTAACATGCTTGTTCATTTTTTTTTCTTTTTTAATCACCTGAGTAGGTTTAAAAAATATATATTGCAAAATAGCTTTTAGGAGTCTCCCAACATTCTTGGTCAACCTCACTGTAAACCAGTCGGCTCCCAGCCCACTCACATGACGTCAGTGAATTTGGAACACAGCTGTCAGAGTGGAGACGACAGTCGCTCGAGTCACCTGGCATTTTGTCACCTGGGAAGCCGTCTCTTGGCCTCTCGCTAGGCCTGCAGTGCGGCAGGGGTTGATGGCTCACAGCCACACTGCCAGGAGCGGCAGGGTCCTCTGGGGGCCTCTGAGTGAGCAAGGAAGGCTTACGTCTCGCTCAGCGAGGTTCACTTAGAAGTGCTGCGTGTGTTCCTTCCCTGAACCTTTGAACACTGGGAATCCGGTGTTAGGCACCCTCAGTTAATTCTCTGTGAACCATACCATTTGACTTTCCAGACCCCAGTATTCCTCAGTCACCCTTGAAAACAGAGCATTGACCCTGGCAGTTAAAATAATTTGGGGTCAATAAACGGAATACCTTTTAAACAGTGGCTTGCTGGTTTTCTCTCGATCTTACTGGTGTAGAGAATCTTGTGTTCCTTCTGTTTTCCTTCTGCCCCAGCAGATGGCTGTCCAGGTCAGTCTCGGTATAAGATTACCAAAAATCAGTCCAAGGACACGACGCAGGTTCAGTTCCCTTAGGAGAAGTTCAGCTGGGAGGCGTACACTGCAGGCCCCTCTTTGAGAGGGTTTGGCAACATAAAGGGCAAGTAGGCAGGAGCAGCCTGTCCCTGTCAACTCCTCAGGGGTAATGAAGGATGTCAGGAATGCAGAGTAACTACTGAGGCACTTCTCAGTTGGTAGCTGTTGTATTTTCTCTGAAAAGTCCTAATGAATGTTTTAACCATTTCTCATTTTTATTTTGCTGGATTTTTTTTTGGCTTGTTTTGTTTTGGCTTCAGCATTCTTGCTCTTGCTATTGCTTATCTGTTGAATTTTGATTCCCCATGTCACTGTTTCCTTTTGCACACACCTCTCAAGGTTTACACGGTGAACAATGTGAGTGTGATCACCAAAATACGGACAGAACATCTGACCGAGGAGGAAAAAAAAAGATATAAAGGTAATCTCTTCCCTTCTCCCCGCCCCCCACCCACCCCGTTTCTAGCCTAGAGCAGAGCACACCTTCATCGGCTCTGTTAAACTCGGGGGTCAATGTGATGGGGTCATGCCAATCTGAATTTCCTCCTTACAAATTTCTCCCTAGTCTGACTCACTCCTGGCGGCACTTCCCTGTAGTTGGCATCAGCTGTAATTAAAGCCATTTACAAGACCTTGCTGATGTTTTATGAAGAACAGTTGTTGAATTCAAGTCGAAAAAGTAAAGATATTGAAGAGTATTTATCACTGAAGTGAGTTAGTGCAAAGCGTCACGGTGGGAGATTCAGACAGGACTTGGGCTCTGAACCAAAACGTGGCCAGCATGTGGCCGCCTTACCTCAGCTCGCTGAGGCTGGTAGGGCCTTGTGAGGTCCACTCTGTGCTGTGGTCATCTCAGCTACCAGACCTGCCTTAAGAGTCATTGCGAGGACGAGATGAGTTGCTGCGCGTTGGAGACCAGGCCTGCAGCATGTGGGGAGCCTGCAGTCCCTCCTCCCCCGCAGTCACAGTGGGGGAGTTAACTCCCTACTCCACTGCTGCCCCCTTTAGTCCAGTCTGGCAAATGAGGGAGCTAAGGCCTCAGTCACACAAGAGGTGACCCACAAGGTGCAGCTGGAATCAGATCTGGCTCCTTCCTAAGTCTGAACTCTTTGTAGTAATTCTGATTGCATTCCTAAAACTCTGTTCATCGAGCTTAGAGACCTTGATAAAAGTATCATAGAAATACTCAGTCACTCAATTGTATCTGACTCTCTGCAACCCCATGAACTATTGCCCCACCAGGCTCCTCTGTGGTATTTCCCAGGCAAGAATACTGGAGTAGGTTGCCATTTCCTCCTCCAGGGGATCTTTCTGACCTAGGGATCAAACCCAGGTCTCCTGCATTGGCAGGCGGATTCTTTACCACTGAGCGACCTGGGAAGCCCCCAGAAAGAGTGTTAGCTGATGGTTATTAGAGATGATTTTATTGGCCTGTTCATGGATGGATTTCCTAATGCATAATGGAGAAACATGAAGGTAGAACGGGAATCCTTTTCTATAATCATAAGTCAAATAAACGTTCCCCCCTCTGTAGCCGACAGGAACCCACTGGAATCGCTGCTTGGGACTGTGGAACACCAGTTTGGTGCTCAAGGGGTAAGTCAAAACGTGACTTCCAGCATGGTTTAACAGGAGGTGACTTTTCTGTGCTACTGGTGGCATTTCCTGCATCCTGAGCAGGCCACTTAATTTGAAAAGGCTTAAGAGTTGGAATCAGAGATGTTCTTTTGGAAGAGAATAAGATGAGTAAGACTTGAAAAATAAAAGATTTTTAGAGGCAGATAGTGATCATAGAATCAGGTGCTTTCTCTCATATCTGTTTTAAACTAGGACCTCTCTATAAAAATGGAACCGGAAAAAAAAAAAAGGATTCGAGACTTTATATTTTAATAGAGCTCCTTAATAAACATTTTCTGACTCATTCCTCACAATAACCGTTTGAAATTTGTTGCTGTGGATGTCACTGAGGGTCTGAAAAATGAAGTGACCTTTCCAGTGTCACAGGCTAGAGGACAGAGCTGGAACCCGATTGTCAGATCTTCGGATCCCATGAACTGTAGCCCACCAGTCTCCTCCATCCATGGGATTTTCCAGGCAAGAATACTGAAATGGGTTGCCATTTCCCTCTCCAGGGGATCTTCCTGACCCAGGGATTGAACCCTGGGTTCAGTCTGAAGATACGCTTTCAGATATTTCTGTCTATATCTCTTTTCTTTTTCCTTTCTCTAATCAGGAGGTAAAAAGGCAGAGGAGATTGGAGAAACGATTTGAAATGGAGAAATCCATTAGGCTTAGCCATGTAGTTTGGTAATAGGTTTGTAGGTGTTCTGCGCAGTAACTTAGTTAAAAAAAAAAGTTAATGACCAGAACTTCCTGCTCTGTAGCTGGTTAACACAGCCACCTCAGAGGCTGGGTGCCATAGACCTCCACTTGCCAGCAGCGTTGGCATTTCTGACTCCCCTGAGTTCTGGCTCGGCAGGACCTCACGACAGAGTGCGCCACGGCCCACAACCCCACAGCCATCACGCCTGATGAGTACTTCAACAAAGAGTTCGATCTGAAAGACAGGGACATCGGAAGGCCAAAGGAGCTGACGATTAGGACGCAAAAGTAAGAGGGACTCAGCGGTCATTTTCAACTTACAGATTCTTATTTGTTTGAGAAGTTGTGCTGTTTCCCATGTCATGGTTCTTCTTCCAGCCCCTCCCTTGAAAAATAATTTCAAATCACTGGGATTTCCCTGGCAGTCTTTTGGTTAAATAGACTTCTTGCCCTGCCACTTCATGGGGCACAAGTTTCCCTGGTTGGGGAATTGAGATCCTGCATTCCGAGTGACCCCCCCAAAAAAAATTAAAATCACTTTATCTGATGAAAGGTGACAGTAAATTTCCTGTCTTATTATTAGCCCTTCTCCAAATAGAATATAGACTGGATATAAGAATTCCTTTTTTAACTGCCGACAAGCCTCAGCTGGTCAAATGAAATGGTTTCCCCCAGCTACCAGTACTTTCTGCTTGCTATCGATTAAGGCTTGTGGCCTTAATCATTTGCCCCCAGTTGCCCTGATTTCGCGGTGATGCAAGTTCTCTGTGGCTCTCGTCCCTTCCCAGCTCTGACACAGGGGGTGTGAGATAAATGGGGAGACTGGGGCATGGGGAAGCAGGCATTGTCTAGGCTACTGCAGGGGAATCACGCAGCCCCCCCATATTGGGAGCCAGCCTTGGTCAGTCTTATCTCACGCAATCCGGCAGGTTTAAAGCAACGCTGTGGATGTGTGAGGACTTCCCGCTGTCCCTGGTGGAGCAGGTGGTCCCCATCATTGACCTGATGGCCCGCACCAGCGCACATTTTGCCCGGCTAAGAGACTTCATCAAACTGGAGTTCCCGCCCGGATTTCCCATCAAAATAGGTACCATTCAGTCAAGCAGAGGAGCACCCAACAAGGGACCTAACAGGAAAGGGCAGACTTGCCTCGAGTTCAGTGTAATTTACAGAAGTGTCCTGGTTCTTAGTTCATTTTGCACATCAAAATTAGGAATTTTCCCCCGCCATCAGTGCTGTTTACAGATGATGCTGACAGATGAAAAAGACATAAAAAGGGGACACATGCCTTGTTTTAAGATCAAACCTTACTGAAGTGACTTCAAATTAGACTTACTATTTGAAGAAGACAGTTGACACTAAGATCCTTTGATACATTAATATGTTTTAGGGCTTGAATTAGTGCACATGATACCACATATAATACATAATTGCTTGTGAAGAATTTACATTTTGGATAGTTGTATATTCATGACACTTGAATCCTGGCTCGATCACTTCCTGTGATCTAGAAGGAGTTGCTTAACCTCTCTGAATCTCAGTCTTCCTATCTGAATATTGGGAAACAGTTGTTATGATTAAATGAAATCATACTTATAGAAAGTACTCAGCATGGTACCAGCATAGTAAGTGCTCACTAAGTGGTGGCTGTTATTCTTCTGGATAAAGTTTATTTATAAAAGCTTTTATTTTGTTAGAAATTCCCTTGTTTCATGTCTTAAATGCACGGATTACATTTGGAAATGTTAATGGCTGTAGCACTGCTGAAGAAACTGTATCTCAACATGTGGAAGGGACCCAGCCTGATTCAGGTAAAAAAAAAAAGTTGGATTTTGTGATTTAAAAAAAATTCATACATTTAATCATTATACTGATTATTCAGTTTGAAATTAGAGTATCTTATGAAGTTGATTTCTGTCCTGAAAGAAACTTTTGGATTTAGTTTCGATTAAGTAAAACAAAAAATTTGTAGGAATGTATGAATATGACCCCTCTTGAATTAAAAAGACAGCCTATCTTAAAAAACAACTTTACTGAGGTGTGACATGTAATCACATCCTCCCATTTTAAATGTGACTGTTCATTGCATTTTGACAAATGTATACAAACCCATGTAACCATCACCACAGGCAAGATACAGAACATTTCCATTACCCCCCAAATTTCCTCAGGCTCTTTTGCCATCAGTCCCATTCAGATGTTGGATGCTGTTGTAAATGGATTTGTTTCTTAGTTTTATTTCCCAGTTTACTCACTTATAATATATTGAAACTTAATTGGATTTTTTTCAGTTTCTTTTTTCTTTTTTTTTCATTTTCTTTTTTGAGTTTCTTTTTTATGATGGTACAATAGTGTTGTGTGTCTTAGGCTAGTTGAAGGATATGCAGGCCTTTGTTTTTATTATTATCACTTTTGAGTTTACAGGTGTGTTATATACTCTTTTATATTTTTACTGTTTTTCATAATAATAAAGGAAAAGATAAAGACAGTGGTGTGATTGTGTGTATATCCCCACACACCCACACACACACATCACACTCCTCAGGACACACAAGTAAACACTGGTTACCTCTGGCATTTGGAAATAGGAGACAGGGTGTAGGGAGAGAGATCTTCACTTTTAATTTTGCAGTCTTGTGTTTTTTGGGTTTTTTTTTTTTTGGTGATTATGCATTATATTATTAAAAAAAAAAAAAGTCGAGGCACAAAGGAAAAAAAACAAAACAATATTCTGGTACTTGTCCCTGTCGAGGTTATTCTTCTTTGAAATCTCTCTCACCTAGCAGCAAATCTTGATATTAATCATTTTAATTTAAAAAATGTTTATGAGTTGAAGTGGAAATTTATTCTGCTAACTCAGGTACTGGACTGCCACCTTCTGTGTTGCAGCTTCCCCTCTCACAAACTTTGAGGTTGATCAGTCTGTGTTTGAAATCCCTGAATCTTACCATGTCCAAGACAACGGCAGAAATGTGCATCTGCAGGATGAAGATTACGAGATAATGCAGTTTGCCATCCAGCAGAGCTTACTGGAGTCCAGCCGAAGCCAGGTACATGAATCGGAACCAATGGCAGGGCTGGGAAGGTTTTACCCTCCCGTTTGGCCTCAGTCTTTGGTTCTAAATGACAAGTTTGGCATATTTGTGGTATTTACCTAGATTATATTTTATGTCCCTGGTCTTTTATGAAAGCTTCTTATATAAGACCGTGTGCATAGCCCCAGTCAGCATCATTTACAGGATGTTCCCTGCCAGGCTTGGTGGCTTCCTGCTCTACAAGAGTGGGATCTGCTTCTGCCCTTTGGTGTGGTCCTGGGCTCCTGCTATCCACTGGTTTCCTTACGTCATTCATCCAGCAGAGGTTTGTGCAGTGCCTGCTTTGTGCCAGGCTTGTGCCAGGCGCCGGGAGTCTCCGTGGTGAAGCAGCCCCGGCGCCTGCCTTCATGGAGCCACTAAGCTCTGTGAATGGCGCCCACGCTGCGGTGCCCTCCCAGCCGAGGTTTCTCACACTCTTGCTTTTCTGGAGTCTCAGGGCTTGGTAGCGCGAGCCCGCCTCACATGGGCCCATCCTCAGAGCCGTTTCGCTTTCCGAGGCTGCTGGGCCCAGGACCAGGCCCCAGCGCTGGCACGTCCCCAGAGGCGCCTCTCCCCTCACCCTCGCTGTCAGTCCAGTGCGCTTTTCCTTTCCCCACTCTGAGTGAGCTTGTTCTTCCAGCAGCTGCATCAACCTTGACCATACATTCTGAAAAGAGGAGTAGCCAAAGATGACCAATAATGAGTTACGTATTCTGGTCTTGCTCTAGAATAATTACTTGGTTTATTCATTTAAACTTTGCCTAAGCTTGAGTAGTTTTTAATAGATTTGTTTGATGTCAAGTAAGAGAAGCTGGTAGCTGTCATTCAGGGTAGCGGACCCTATCTACCTGACGTTTGGGTGTTACCTTAGAGGTAATCCCAGTCACTCTTAGTTTTCACCCAGCACCGATGATAATGGACTTGCAATATTGTTAATCTTGTTGTTTCTGCTTTCATTTTGTTGTCAGTACGACATTTTATTCCTTCTAAGGGGTATTCACATGCATCTGTTTGTCTTTCCTAGGAGCTTTCAGGACCAGCTTCTAATGGAGGGATCAGCCAGGCACATGCCTATGACGCCCAGTATGAGAGGTGATTGACATGACTCTTGATTAACCCGAGGTTGGTACAGGTGCATAGGACACGCAGCAGCAGGCCTGGTGGGAGAGACTTGATAAAATGTTGGTTCTCCTTCCTTTATGGCAGTTCCTCATTGAATTAGTTCTAAGCTCGCGGTGGCTGAGCTTCCAGGAACTGGTGATAGAATTGCTGACCAGTTCCTCACCAGTGTCATGGGCAGAAAGGCACCCTGTAAATGTTTTCTGATCTGCAAAGAATGTAATATGATCACAGAAGGGCTGAGTTGCCCTTAGTGGGAAGTTTATACAATTTCCCCGACTGGGGATCAAAGCCATGCCCTTGGCAATGAAATTCAGAGTACTAACCACTGGACCACCGGGAAGTTGCCAGATAATCCGTTTGAGGGGGGGTTTGGAAAGACTCATTTTATGTAACATCTTCCTATAGTCTGGGCACACATGAATACCTGTTGAAGAAGTTGGGATTTGCTTTAAAATAGATCCAAGTTCAATTCTTAGCCCTGCCCTTAGAGGCTGGGTGATCTCGGGCAGGTGTGTACCAGCACCCAGCACCTGCACCCCCAGTTAGGTGAGATTGATGGCCTCATGCATACTGAGCGGGCAGGAAGCGCCTGGCCTGGTGGGCACTGGGTCCCGGGTTAAGAAACATGGGTGCTGCTGGCCCACGGGGGTGACTGTTTCTTCCCCTCTGTGGTTCTAACGCAGGGCCATCCAGGAGAGCCTCCTCAGCAGCTCCGAAGGCCTGGGCTCCGACATCTCCGGTGAGACCAGCCGCTTTGACAGCGACCTGCAGCTAGCCATGGAGCTCTCCGCCAAAGAGCTGGAGGAGCACGAGCTGCGGCTTCGCGAGGAGGAGGCGGAGCTGCAGCAAGTTCTCCAGCTGTCACTCACCGAGAAATAGGCCCGCCTGCCTCCCGCCCCCAGTCTGCGCTCCCGGTCGAGGGACTGCGCCTGCGCGGGACTGCACCTTACTCGGGTGCAGCAGAAGGCAGCTGTCTCCTGCTTTCTGCAGAGGTGCAGGGCTGGGGCTTCTCCGGGCCCACCCGCCACACTCCCCGGTGAACGGGCTGGGGTCCCGCAGCCCCCGCGCTCCAGGCATCAGGGGAGGAGAGCATCGTCACTTTCCATTAGCTCTGTTGGCTTGCAGGTCACGTTTTTTACTTACCAGCTTTAGATACAAACCCAGTCCCTCCTCCCACTGCCCCCACCCCAGGTTTGTAGATTAATTTTTATCGAGGAGTGATGACGAGTTCTTGCAGAGTCGGGTGCTTTTATAGAGGAGAGCAGCAGCCTTTGCAGAGCGTGGTGTATGAGGACCTAGGAGACACTTCTTTACAGTTCACCAAAGAAATGGATCACCTGTGCCGATCTGCTCTTTCATTTTTACCTTTGTACAGGGTTTCCAGGGCACCCTCACTGTTCCGAAGCCAACCCCACCTTACTCCACCCCTCCCGCCACAGCTGAAGAGGAGATAAGTACAGGATCTGTTTTAGATTTAGGGTTAACTATTTGCATCAAATTAAGATACAGATGACAACGGATGTTGCCTTAGCCTTAAAAATTACTGATAGTTTCAAACCACCTCCACTTCTTGTTGAGGAGGGGTCTGATTTGAATTTGTAAAGGCAGTTCCTTTGAGAGCAGGATCCTCCAGGCTAAACCCAAGGCAGCTAACCCTGACCCTGAAGGAGCAGCTAGGACAGCCTGAGGCTTGTTCTCGAAGTGGGCAGGCTGGCCAAAGGATCACCAAAGCAGGGGTGTGTTGATGCCTTCTGTGGTGAGAGGTCTCCACCCAGAGGCCTGGGAAGACCCCGCGACGTGCCCTGGGCACACTGGAGAGGAAGGGGTGGGCTTGAAATGAGCAAGGGAGCTACAGACAGAACTCAGTGGCTCTGTACTCAGAAGGGAAAACGGTGAACCCACGTTGCTTTTTAGAGTTCAAATCAACACCTTTCTGGATAAATATATTTTTTAACAGAATCTTTTTATTATTTTTAAAAGAGATAAAAACGACTGCTCCCATCCGTAGCAATACAAGGTTATACATTTTAACCAGATTTTCTCAGGCCCTTTTTGGGATACCTTTAGTAGTTAACTATTTTGTCTAACCCTCCTGTAAATAACCATCGCACAACATAAGAGGACCCTGGGGAGTGCGGCCGAGGGCACCGTCACTCCAGCCCGGCCCAGGGATTCATTCCCACAGGCTGCACTGATGTCGCCCAGTTAACAGCATGCTCCTCTGTTCTGCGTCCATTTCCTACCTGTTGTGCTGCTTTGGGGATGGGAAGGGAAGCCGAAACCCCTGTTCCAGTAAACGGCCGTGTATACAGTTAACTGTTGCCAGTGAAACGTGCCCGGTCACAAAGAACTGGGCTTTTGATTCCATGTGACCATTCTGCCTTTCTCATCATGGCCTGACCAAAATTCCTTCTCCACGTACGAGGCCAGTATATGCAGCATCACATGTGTCTCAGACACACAGCCTGGCGTTTTGTTTACTTAGCCTTTACCTCCAGCAAAGATGCGTTTTGGGAATGGCTGCATTTAGGCCATGTGTTTACTCACCGAGGTGAATAGAGGTAATTTCTGTGTTTGCATTCCATTGTTCTGCTTCCCCACGTCTTTGACTTTCTCCCCAGGAAGTCACTTAAAAAGGGACTGAGCCTTGTGTCACCATCACAGCATTTTCCATATATGTGTTCACTCTCAAAATACAAATAAAGACAGCTTCCTTAGAGGGTGCTCGTACACTACTCTGAATGCTTTCGAGTCTTTTTTTTTCTCCCTCCACATTTTTCTAGTCCCCTCCTGTTGTGTGTGTTATTGGAACATTAGAACGCCTCTCAGTCCTCAGTTGTGCGTGACTAAGGTTTCCTCACAAATGCAGATGACCTCAAAGAAGATGAGTTGAACTATGGCAATTTCAAATGGCTGCGGTGCCTTGAATGATGGAGTTGACCTTCCCAGGTGGCGCTAGTGGTAAAGAAACCCTCTGCCTGCCATGACTGACAGTTTCAAGTCCAAGCTAGACCCATGTCCAGATCTCTGTTCATTTCCAAGGCAAACCATGCAATATCACAGTAATCCCAAGTCTGTGCCCCAACCAGTAATGAAGCTGAACCAGCTGAAGAAGCTGAAGTTGAACGGTTCTATGAAAACCTACAAGACCTGTGCTCGCTTCAGCAGCACCTATACTAAAATTGGAATGATACAGAGAAGATTAGCATGGCCCCTGCACAAGGATGACATGCAAATTCTTGAAGCGTTCCATATTTAAAAAAAAAAAAAAAACACCTACAAGAACTTCTAGAACTAACACCCAAAATGAAGCTGAACCAGCTAAAGAAGCTGAAGTTGAATGGTTCTATGAAAATCTACAAGACCTTCTAGAACTAACACCCAAAAAAGATGTCCTTTTCATTATAGGGGACTGGAATGCAAAAGTAGAAAGTCAAGAAGCACCTGGAGTAACAGGCAAATTTGGCCTTGGAGTACAGAATGAAGCAGGGCAAAGGCTAACAGAGTTTTGCCAAGAGAACGCAATGGTCATAGCAAACACTGGATTCCAACAACACAAGGCTACACATGGACATCACCAGATGGTCAATATCGAAATCAGACTGATTATATTCTTTGCAGCCAAAGATGGAGAAGTTCTATACAGTCAGCAAAAACAAGACTGGGAGCTGACTGTGGTTCTGATCATGAAGTCCTTATTGCAAAATTCAGACTTAAACTGAAGAAAGTAGGGGAAACCACTAGACCATTCAGATATGACCTAAATCAAATCCCTTATGATTATGTAGTGGAAGCGACAGATTGAAGGGATTAGATCTGATAAAGTGCCTGAAGAACTATGGATAGGGGTTCATGGCATTGTATGGGAGGCAGTGATCAAGACCATCCCCAAGAAAAAGAAATGCAAAAAAGCAAAATTGTTGTCTGAGGAGGCCTTACAAATAGCTGTGAAAAGAAGAGAAATGAAAGGCAAAGGAGAAAAGGAAAGATACACCCATCTGATTGCAGAGTTCCAAAGGCTAGCAAGGAGAGATAAGAAAACCTTCCTCAGTGATCAATGCAAAGAAATAGAGGAAAACAACAGAATAGGAAAGACGAGATCTCAAGAAAATTAGAGATACCAAGGGAACATTTCATGCAAAGATGAGCACAATAAAGGACAGAAATGGTATGGACCTAACAGAAGCAGAAGATCTTAAGAAGAGGTGGCAAGAATACACAGAAGAACTATACAAAAAAGATCTTCATGACCCATATAATCACGAAGGTGTGATCACTCACCTAGAGCCAGACATCCTGGAATGTGAAGTCAAGTGGGTCTCAGGAAGCATCACTACGAACATAGCTAGTGGAGGTGATGGAATTCCAGTTGAGCTGTTTCAAATCCTAAAAGATGATTCTGTGAAAGTGCTGCACTCAATATGTCAGCAAATCTGGAAAACTCAGCAGTGGCCACAGGATTAGAAAAGGTCAGTTTTCATTCTAATTCCAAAGAAAGACAATACCAAAGAATGCTCAAACTACCCCACAACTGCACTCATCTCACACGCTAGCAAAGTAATGCTCAAAATTCTCCAAGCCAGGCTTCAACGTACATGAACCGTGAAATTCCAGATGTTCAAGATGGATTTAGAAAAGGCAGAGGAACCAGAGATCAAGTTGCCAACATCTGTGGATCACAGAAAAAGCAAGAGAGTTCCAGAAAAACATCTGCTTTATTGACTATGCCAAAGCCTTTGACTGTGTGGATCACAACAAACTGGAAAATCCTTAAAGAGATGAGAATACCAGACCACCTTACCTGCCTCCTGAAAAATCTGTATGCAGGTCAAGAAGCAACAGTTAGAACTGGACATCGAACAACAGACTGGTTCCAAATCAGGAAAGGAGTATGTCAAGGCTGTATATTGTCACCCTGCTTATTTAACTTATATGCAGAGTACATCATGAGAAATGCTGGACTGGATGAAGCACAAGCTGGAATAAAGATTGCTGGGAGAAATATCAATAACCTCAGGTATGCAAATGACACCACACTTATGGCAGAAAGCTAAGAAGAACCGAAGAGCCTCTTGATGAAAGTGAAAGAGGAGAGTGAAAAAGTTGGCTTAAAACTCAACATTCAGAAGACTAAGATCATGGCATCTGGTCCCATCACTTCATGGCAAATAGATGGGGAAACAATGGAAACAGTGACAGACTTTCTTTTCTTGGGCTCCAAAATCACTGCAGATGGTAACTGCAGCCATGAAATTAAAAGACACTTGCTCCTTGCAAGAAAAGTTATGACCAATCTAGATAGCATATTAAAAAGCAGAGACAAAGCAAAAGACAAAGGATTAATCTCAGAAATATACAAGCAACTCCTCCTGCTCAACTCCAGAAAAATAAATGACCCAATCAAAAAATGGGCCAAAGAACTAAACAGACATTTCTCCAAGGAAGACATACAGATGGCTAAAAAACACATGAAAAGATGCTCAACATCACTCATTATCAGAGAAATGCAAATCAAAACCACAATGAGGTATCATTACACGCCAGTCAGGATGGCTGCTATCCAAAAGTCTACAAGCAATAAATGCTGGAGAGGGTGTGGAGAAAAGGGAACCCTCTTACACTGTTGGTGGGAATGCAAATTAGTACAGCCACTATGGAAAACAGTGTGGAGATTTATTAAAAAGCTGGAAATAGAACTGCCATATGACCCAGCAATCCCACTTCTGGGCATACACACCGAGGAAACCAGATCTGAAAGAGACACGTGCACCCCAATGTTCATTGCAGCACTGTTTATAATAGCCAGGACATGGAAGCAACCTAGATGCCCATCAGCAGACGAATGAATGAGGAAGCTGTGGTACATATACACCATGGAATATTACTCAGCCATTAAAAGAATTCATCTGAATCAGTTCTAATGAGATGGATGAAACTGGAGCCCATTATACAGAGCGAAGTAAGCCAGAAAGATAAAGACCATTACAGTATACTAACACATACATATGGAATTTAGAAAGATGGTAACGATAACCCTATATGCAAAACAGAAAAAGACTCAGATGTATAGAACAGACTTGTGGACTCTGGGAGAAGGCGAGGGTGGGATGTTTCAAGAGAACAGCATCGAAACATGTATATTATCTAGGGTGAAACAGATCACCAGCCCAGGTTGGGTGCATGAGACAAGTGCTAGGGCCTGGTGCACTGGGAAGACCCAGAGGGATCGGGTGGAGAGGGAGGTGGGAGGGGGGACCGGGATGGGGAATACATGTAAATCCATGGCTAATTCATTTCAATGTATGACAAAAACCACTGCAATGATGTAAAGTAATTAGCCTCCCACTAATAAAAATAAATGGAAAAATAACAAAAAATTTTTAAAAAAGCAGAGACATTACTTTACCAACAAAGGTCCATCTAGTCAAAGCTATGGTTTTCCCATAGTCATGTATGGATGTGAGAGTTGGACTATAAAGAAACCTGAGTGCCGAAGAATTGATGCTTTTGAACTGTGATGTTGGAGAAGACTCTTGAGAGTCCCTTAGAAAGCAAGGAGATCCAACCAGTCCATCCTAAAGGAAATGAGTCCTGAATATTCATCAGAAGGACTGATGCTGAAACTCCAATACTTTGGCCACCTGATGAGAAGAACTGACTCACTGGAAAAGACCCTGATGCTCGGAAAGATTGAAGGCAGGAGAAGGGGTCGACAGAAGATCAGATAGTTGGATGGCATCACCGACTCGGTGGACATGAGTTTGAGTAAGCTCCGGGAGTTGGTGATGGACAGGGATAGTGTGCTGCAGTCCATGGGGTCTCAGAGTTGGACACGACTGAGTGACTGAACTGAACTGAGACCCACATCTAGAAATGAGTGTGGATTTAAAATTGAGATCCTGCAAGGGACAAAAGTGCAATCCACTAATAAGACTCTAAGCCCCTATAATCTCAAGCAGCAACCTGCAAACTTCTTAGTCTCAACTTTAAAGAATGTTAAGATCAGTATTTGCTAAAATAACCCATTTTGGTGTATATTAGTCTAATGTGTTTGCCGCGGGGCGTGGCAAGTAACCTGAGTACAGTTCAGCTTAGGGAACCTAGGGTTTGACCCCTGCCCCCTGCACCCCTGAAGAGAAAGGCCAGGAGAATAATTCCACTTGAAAGCAGCAGCTGGGCGTAGGAGTTTTTTATTTTTCTTGCTCCCAGAACTGATATTTTCTTTCACCTTTACAACTCCCTCTCATACTGAACAGATGCTAACACCGGGATGAAGATGCAGGCTGTGTTTTCAATGTGTATGTAGAATGACTGGCAAGTTTGTTTCAGAAAACCGGCCATGATTGGTTTACCTGGCTGGTGATTATAGGCAAATGGCAGGGCACAAGGTTTATGGACCTGACAAGTTTTTACTGTTTCCTCTTTTTGTTTGTTTGTTTGTTTAACAATCATTTTCAATCCAAAGAAATTGTATGAAAACAACAAAATATTTTTAAATGTTAACAATTTAAAAGTTCCTCACAAAGAACAACTGGGCTCAGCACTCAGTTTATGCTGTAATATAGTTTTAAATAAAATTTTAGTTATCAGACCATTGTAAATATCAATAATTCAAATACAGGAAAAAGATTTTCCTTGATTATGTTTTTGTTTCGCAGTTTGTTTTTCCTACCAATAATTTCCTTTTTCCATTTACCCAGTAATCAGTAAATACTTTAAATAAATGAATACCTAGAAACTTCATTGATAAGTCCATCAGGTTTTTCTTCTGCTAAATGTTCTAATCTGTATTTTGAATCCACAACAGTTATGATACCATCAAGATAAATATCAACCCCTAATTCAGCATCAACCCAAAACATAGAAGCTGTAGCACCAGGATCTGCTAATCCGGTGGTCTCTAACAATATGTAATCAAATCTCCCTTTCTTCTTCATCAAATTCTCAATAGCTCTAAGGCCATTGTCCTTTATAAACAGCAGAGGCAACCGTTTCTAAGTTCCAGCCACTCTTCGTAGAGTTCTCCACCTTGGCTGACAGCTAGGGATTTCTCCACTGCACTTCTTCCCCAAATTCATTTAAAATCACTGCTATTCTTTTACAATGTTGCTCTGTCAAAATATAGCTAAGAAGTGTTGTCTTCCCAGCACCTAAATACCCGGCGATAACTGTGACTGGATCCTAGCGCTGGGGCCAGACTTCTCCTCTTCCACCTCTCTCTGCTTCGCCTCAATGGGGACCAATTCAGGACAATCCTCTTCTGCCTGCTCCTCTTCCTCATCCGCAGAGTCAATAGCACAAAACATCTTGCAAACAGCACAGCTCACCTCTCTACTGTTTCCTTCTAAAACTAAAAATGGCAATAAGTGTTTAGGCAGATAACAAAACATGGCATCCCAGATGAGGCAGGGATGTGGGCTCCTGTGATGTGACTCTGTCCTGCAAGAGCCCCTCAGAATCCCCAACACTCCGCCCTCCAGTCACAGGCCGGCGGTGGTGACCCCACTTCTGTTTGTGTTAGTTTTCACATCATCTGATCCTCACTAGAATAAAGAAAGATAAAGTGTGTATATCACTGTTTTATAGATAAGAAAACCGAGGCTCTAAGAGAAGTTAAGCCTGTTTGTAACTAGAGCCAGAACAAGAATCCAGGTCTTCTGGGCCCTGACCCAGCCTGAGAGATTACTTAGGGCTCAGTTTTCTGAGTAGCTTAGAGCTCCACTTCACAGTGCCTCCTTAAGAGATTAAATCAGATTCCCACACACACACACACACACACACACACACACACACACACCCCTGCATTTTAAATGCTTGTGAAATAATGACTAGGATAAAGCAGCACGTAAGATTTTACTTTCGTTTTAATGGACATTTTGCTCAGAAGCACGGAACAGCGAACGTGTCAGCGGCTCAGTGCTGGGGTCACACACAGAACTGTTCAGTCAGTTACAGTATCCCACTTCAGTTATTTCACATTTAGTTGAGGTTGTTTAAAAAAAAAAAATCAGTGCTGTGCTAGAATGGAGCACAAAACAAGATAAGCATTTTAATTTAGTAACACAGATAAGCCTAGCACCCTTAAAATAAATACTGTTAAGAATGAAAGTCTCATTCCCACGGGGGGATATTCCAGTTCACCAACAGTGCAAATGAACAGCAGCATTTTCAAAGTGGAAATTAACTTGTGTAAACACACACCTGCTCGCCCCTTGGCCTTGACAGTGAACATGCACATCTGCTGCGCCCCTGCACCCTCCCCACCCAGGGCAGAAAAGAGCGCCTGCTGAGAGTCAGAAAAGCTGCCCTGACTTCCAGGCCACAGGCTGGGAAGGCTTAAGTGCAGGACAAGGAAGTCAACGAGTTTGAGACGGGCCAACTGCTATGCTTCCAGCCACCCCCAGAGCCTCCCAGCCCAAGGGTGCCCGTGGTCACAGGCCTACCTGGTGACCCCGACTTCAATGGAGGTATCTAAGCACAGAACTCCATGCAGCGTGAGGAGTGAGGTGGGGGGGCACTGCCTACATTCCTACATAGCGGACACTGCTTTGCGAACAGGGCATCGAGGCCAACTCAGGATAATTAATAACATTTGTTATTCTTATCCCATTCTGACCAAATGATTCTTAAGTAGGGAATGTCTACAGGTCAAATCCCCCTTCTCGTAACAGTTTCAAACATTAGCGACTTTTCCTATCCAGGGTGGCTTTTTCACCACTTGCAAAGTTACGTTTTCTTTCTCCTGAGCACTCCATCTTTACGCTGAACCCTGGAGCTTCAGGTCTTACTTTTAACAAGCACAGCCAGATATAAGAAGAAACACTGAGAAGCGGACTCAGTGGCCCAATGCTTGCCTTCCAGCGTCAGGATAAGACAATGGCTAGATATTTTTTCTAAATTGTTCAGAATTTATCAACTGTCCAGACCAAAGATTACTTCCAAGCAGTAAAGTTCCAATTACAGCTTCTCTACTGACCCACGTGCAACACAACTTATTCCGTTCCCAGATGCTCATGGAAGGACTTGCTCAGCTGTCACCGTCGCCGAATGGGCTTGTAGACGCAGAATGCCATGAGGATCACGGTCACCAGCAGGAGGCTGAAGATGGTTCCCATCAACACTGCAAAAGGAAAACAGGTTACCGCCCAAGGGCAGCTCAAGTTCCCCAAGTCGTCCACTGACAGCGATGTGCCCAACGCCACTCAGGACCAGGCACCATGCCGGGTGTGGGAGAACCAGCCACGACAGAGCTGGCGCTATCTCCGTGCATGTGGGGAGAGAATGCAGCTTTAAGCGCTGCGAGGAAAACGGGAATGTGAGGGTGATGGGGAGGGCTGGTGGAGGAAGCCAGTGAGGAGGGAACACACAAGCTGGGGCCTTAATGGAAGAGGCGTGAGGATCTGCAGGATCGGCAAAGGAAAGTCCCTTAGGCCAGAGCAAGCCAGAAAGCCAAGGAACAAAAGAAAGCCAAAGTGGCTGGGAGCAAGGAGTGAAGGAAGAAAGGTGGGGAATGAAGCCAGGGAGGAAGCATGGGGCCAGCTCATGCAGGGCCTTGTAGACCAGGAAGCTTAAAGAGAGGATTATGCCAAAGAAGGACATGATCTGATTTAGTAAGAAAAAAGATCCCTCTGGCTGCTGCGTGGAGAACCATCCCATTATAGGGGGACAAGAACAGAAGCAGGGAGCTCAACTATGTTTTTAAAGCCATTCATAAAGATTGGAGATTCAATAAGAATAACGTGTTTCAGTCTCTTGGGGCGTCTTGACAAGGGCTTTCTGGTCAAAGAAGCAATGAAACAACTTCATAAATCTATTATGTTTCTGAGAGTGAATTTCACATCACAAATTTCTAAGTTACTTAGGTGAGAAATAGAACCTACTGTTGCTACCCTCCCAGTGCAAGATTAGATATAAGTACGCAGGATTTAACCTAATAGCAACCTGCTGAAGTGATGTGTAGCCCTCTTTGTGTGTCTATCCCAGAAACCTTGGGGGGAGCTCAAAATGAAGTTACCTTAACAAGTAAATGTACATGTATGTGTTGTTAAGTAACCTGGGTTCTACCTGGGGCCTAACCATGCTTGGTCTCCAGACTGGTTACTGTTCCTCTGAAAAAATCAACAAGATTTGACTGAAGTTTTATTTAAATGAGTAATTTGAGGGTATCTTATCTACCCCACCCACACACTCACTGAACCAAGTTATTATTTAAAAACTGGCCATATAGAGAGATCACCTTTCACTGGAGAGGGAGGGAGGAAGGATGAAGAAGGTGACAAAGATGATGGGTCAAAACTGCAAGAGGCCAGAGGGAAGTTTAAGGGTCTCTGTTAAACAAAACCTATCTCAAAACAGCCCTCATTACCTAAACACCTGCCCTCTTTTCGAAGTTCTGAATTCCATGAGTTTCTAAGGCTCTGTCTATAAATGGACCTAAAGTTGTCTTATTCCATTTAAACCAATTCCCCACTCCCCCCACCCCCGACCCCGTTTTTGGAAAGGCTCTAAACAAAACCAAACCTCCCAGCAGGAATGCAGGGGACTAGAATTGGAGAATGTAAGTCTTCTTTAAAAAAAAGAAAAAAGAAGACCTTAAACCCCAAGTTGTCAGGTACACAATAATCTGTTAGGATAGCTAACCTTTTGGGCCTGGATAAACCTGCCACTCTTCATTTCCCAGGACCTGGGAGAACTTTAAGACCGCTTGGTGGTGGCATTGTTTAGTCACTAAGCTGTGTCTGACTCTTCTGTACCACCATGGACTGTAGCCCGCCAGGTTCATCTTTCCATGGTATTTCCCAGGGAAGAATACTGGGGTGGGTTGGCATTTCCATCCCGAGGGGATCTTCCCAACCCAGGGATCGAACCCACGTCTCTTGCACTGGCAGGTGGATTCTTCATCACTGAGCCACCTGGGAAGCCCTTAAGGCTACTTAGGGCATTCCTTGTGGTCACTTCCCCTTTCCTACCCTGTAACATGGGGCAAATGAAACCCATCTCACAAGAGCGAGTCTCCCGAGGCCTAAAGATGACTGTCATTTAAACAGCGAATTTCAAGTGAAATGTTTTTGCACTGTTTTGGAACTATTCTAATACTGCTCTTTGTTTGTTTGTTTTTTAGCTTGAGTTAACACTGTCACATGGAATCTATTGTTCTAAATATAATATTAAAAGTGGCCAACATATTTTAAAAGAATTCTAAAATCTTAGCCTTGGAAGGCTCTCAAAGGACATCTGGTCCATTTCCACTGAATGTGAATGTTTTTTCTACAATATTCCTGGCAGTTCCAACTCTTATTTGGAATACTTCTGTGTGTGTGCTTGTCAAACAACCAAAATACTAGAAAATTTTAAAAAGTACCTCCACATCATGATTTTTTTTTTTTACTGTCAATTGTGTCAATTTGTCTTACTCAAATAAATCGCATTCTAGATCTCAAACATTTTTTCATATTTTATATGCAAAGCGCTTAACACAGTGCCAGACAGATAATAAGCACATGATAAATGAAAGCCATTATTATCACCAAAACAGGCAACACGGCACAGTGGTCAAGAACACATGGTTTGGGGTTTAGACTGTCTGGGTTCCCATCTACACTTACAGGCTACGTGACTTTAAAGAAGTTACACAATCTCTCTGTTTTCTCTTCTGTAAAAATGGAGATAAAAATTCCCACTGCATAGAACTGTCCAGGGGAGTGTTTCTCAAACAATCTGTGGTAAAGGAATAGTTTTTGTAGCTTGTCTGTCCCAGTGCCATTACCTAGCCCTACTGTGCATGACTGACTGACTAGCAGCTCCCATGACCTAGAAAGCATTCCCATTTAGAGACCAAGAAGTGGTTTTGAGTTGCTTGATGTTGCAACAATGTCACACTGTTAAATTTCTAAATAATCTCAAGTGCTCTAAGACATCTCTGCAGATAACAAACAGTCTGCAGACTTCACAGGGCTCTGCCACTGCTCCTTTTATAGTACTGTTCTACAGAACAGCAGTGGATTCTCAACCATGGGGATTTTGCCTTCAGTGAACATTTGGCAAGTGTCAGGAGACATTTTGACTCTCTGAACTGGAGTGGGGTGTCCTCCTGGCATCTAGTTGGTAAAGGCTGGGGATGCTGTTAAATATCTCAGACTGCTCAGATAGTGTGTGATCAAAATAGTATGTCCACGCCCCCCACTGCCCTTGCCCCGCAAACAGAATCATCTGGTCCAACATGTCAGCAGCACCCAGGATGAGAAATCCTGTTCTAAAGTATTAAGCAAGATGTATGGAAACCATGGAGCAAGTACAAAATACTTGGGTACAAAGTAAGTTGTTGATACATGACAATGGACTCATGGAGAATCAAGGTAATCCAGAAACAGTACCACGTGGCAGCGTTGTAGATATACAGACCTACCAATGAAAGTTCAGCGCAAAAGACTTTTTAAAGTTTGCCAAGCTTTGAGCTCCAGGGCCCCTTCCAAAGCCATATACTCTTATATGTATATATGTGAGTGTGCATATTGATGACATCCTCCCAAAAGGATGTTTCAAGCCCCAGAAAACTAAGGTTCTCCTACTGGCCGCCACCACTTCCTTTATTTATAAAATTTATAAATATTTGTGGAACTCGAGCCCTTTGCAGTGGAAGGACAGAATTTCAACCACTGGACTGCCAGGGAAGTTCATCCACCTGGCTGGCTGTGTAACCCTGGGGCAAATAACTTCACCTCCTTGAATTTCACTTTCCTTATCTGTAAAGAGCGCTGAAAAACTGTAGCTTTCTCGTTAAGTTACTGTGAGGCTCAAATAAAATCATATATATAACGTGCCTAGTACAACACAGTACATAGGAAATGCTCAACAAATGTCAATTATCATTACGACTATGACTACTAGTCCCCTTAGAAAAGCAGAAAGGGTGGGGTATATTATGCGCCGTGTAGCCTAGCTCGAGCCCAACAAGTCCCAGAGGAGGGCACGCAGTGTGACCTGGGTTACCCAGGGCATTCATGCAACCCGCACCTATCAAGCCCACAGTGGACCGAACCTTCCGCTGAGCCCCAGGCCTTCGGAGACGGCTTGCACCAGCACCCGCTGCCCTCACACTGCCCCCACGTCCAAACCGCGCGTGCCAGGCTCCGGCTGCCCGGAGCGACGAAAGCGCAGACCCGACCGCCGGCCCGCGGCCACTCACCCAGGTTCTGCCCACGCAGCACCGCATACGGCCGGCTCCGCTCTGGAGGCTCCACAGGGGTCGGGGCCTCCGCCTGTCCCAGCAGGAGGCTGCACAGTCCAACGCAAAGCCACTGCCACACTGAACGCAACATCTTCCCTGACAGTCGGTGGAAGGCTAGCCACTTCCGCCGGAAGCCCCGTCCCGTCTGCTCCCGCGTACCTACTTCTATCGTACCGAGAGAGCGTCGTTGCCAGGGTAACTGTAGGTTCCTCGGGGATCCACGTTCCTCCAGGACCAACGTTTCCACCCGGCCCAATTTTCAGGGAATCGCCGTTCCGTCAAGGCAATGTCCACTTCCAACACAGTTCCGTCCTGACCAACGTTCCCCCTTCCTTTGAGTTCCAGGTTGGCCCCCTTGCATAGAGGTTTCTTAGGTCCATTTAGGACCTCTGGAAGGTGTTTTACGAATCCATGTATTTTCCTAGTAAATCTTCACCACAGGCCTAAAAAAGAAAAGACACTATTCCTATTTTACAAATGCCACCTTCTCAGGGAGTTTTTACCTGAACACGGTTTTCTAAAACGCTAAACTTCCCACTACTTCTGTATATATTCTCCCTACTCTTTAACCTCTCTCATCCCCTCATAACCCTTTCCCGTTTACCCTATACATTTAATCTACATTTTGTTATTTTTACTAAAAAAGTACACAATGTTACAGTTGTGAGTTAAGTTTTATTTGGGGGCAAAGTAAGGACTATAGCTCAGGAGATAGCCTCTAAGATAACTCTGAAGAACCACTCTGAAGTGGTAGGGGGCAAGTCGGTGTAAATGTGATTGTTAGTCCAAGTTCGTGTGCCCTAGGGCACAGTGAGGCCAAACAAACCAAAACGTCAGAGTTTGGAGCAGAGAAAGGTTTACTGCAGGGCTATTTAAGGAGACACTATCTTATACCCTAAAAAGCCCCTCCCTACCCCCAAGGAGTTCAGTAAAGCATTTTTAAAAGCCAGCTGGAGGTGGAGGCGGGGAGAGGGGGTCTCAGGGTCTGTGATCAGCTCATGCACAGTTCTCTGATTGGCTGATAGTGAGGGAACAGGGGTAGTGTTACAGAGGTTAACTTTATCAGTCCTTAGTCTCCAGGAGGCATGGGGCTATGTGCTCATGGTCGTCAAGAAGTTAACATTTTCCATTTGGTGGGGGGTTTTCACATCCCTAAAACAAATGTGTGCAATTCCAGAAGTGTGCATCAAATACTATTACCTAAGTACTTTCAGTTCAGTTCAGTCGCTCAGTCGTGTCCGACTCTTTGTGACCCCATGAACCACAGCACACCAGGCCTCCCTGTCCATCACCAGCTCCTGGAGTTTACCCAAACTCATGTCCATTGAGTCGGTGATGCCATCCAACCATCTCATCCTCTGTCGTCCCCTTCTCCTCCTGCCTTCAGTCTTTCCCTACATCAGGGTCTTTTCAAATGGGTCAGCTCTTCTCATCAGGTGGCCAAAATATTTGAGTTTCAGCTTCAACATCAGTCCTTCCAATGAACACCCAGGACTGATTTCCTTTAGGATGGACTGGTTGGACTCTCAAGAGTCTTCTCCAACACCACAGTTCAAAAGCATCAGTTCTTCGGCACTCAGCTTTCTTTATAGTCCAACTCTCACATCCATACATGACTATTGGAAAAACCATAGCCTTGACTAGACAGACCTTTGTTGACAAAGTAATGTCTCTGCTTTTTAATATGCTGTCTAGATTGGTCATAACTTTCCTTCCAAGGAGTAAGCGTCTTTTAATTTCATGGCTGCAGTCACCATCTGCAGTGATTTGGAGCCCCCAAAAATAGTCAGCCACTGTTTCCACTGTTTTCCCATCTATTTGCCATGAAGTGATGGGACTGGATGCCATGATCTTGGTTTTCTGAATGTTGAGCTTTAAGCCAATTTTTTCACTCTCCTCTTTCACTTTCTTCAAGAGGCTCTTCAGTTCTTCACTTTCTGCCACAAGGGTGGTGTCATCTGCATATCTGAGGTTATTGATATTTCTCCTGGCAATCTTGATTCCAGCTTGTGCTTCCTCCAGCCCAGCATTTCTCATGATGTACTCTGCATATTAGTTAAAAAAGAAGGATGACAATATACAGTCTTGATGTACTCCTTTTCTTATTTGGAACCAGTCTGTTGTTCGATGTCCAGTTCTAACTGTTGCTTCTTGACCTGCATACAGGTTTCTCAAGAGGCAGGTCAGGTGGTCTGGTATTCCCATCTCTTTCAGAATTTTCCACAGTTTATTGTGATCCACACAGTCAAAGCCTTAGGAGCTAAAGCAGAGGATATGGGGAAGGCCTGTCCTGGGAAGGCCCCACAGGGTCCAGCTCGGTTATAAGACTTTAACCAAGAGGGATCCGTGTGGTCAGGCACACATTATGGCAGAGGTTTACTGCTAGTCAGAAGGAGCCAGTTTCTCTATTAATGATTTTAGTGCTTTTCTAGATTTAAGAAGGTTCAAGGATTTGGGCTCATAAAGCATCCTAAAAAATACTTAACTATCTGAAGACCAGTTTTTCCAGAGCACAAAGTGCCTCATTCCTGATCTCTGCCCTGAACTCCTTTCAGGGTGTGTTGAAAGTCACTGACTGCAGTGGCTCATGAATTCATCCATGTAAACACAGAAGGCAAGTGACAATTTTTAGTTGGCTTTGAGTACCTGCCACCCTCCTAGGATGTAAGGTCTGTAGGGGCAGAGATTTGTCATTGCTCACTGTTGTCCCAGAGTCTGGAAGAGTAGCACATTATGTTCTAGGAATGTTGGCTGAATAAATGAGGAAGCAGCTTAGTTAAGTGTTTGGCCCAGTGCTGCACAGAGTAAATGGCAGAGCTACACCTTGATTCAGGTATAGTTCAGAATCTTTTACCATTTGCTGAGAAGATGAAACTGAGAAATGGAATATTTCCTGCCATATCAGTAAACTAGGATGTCACAGTCATGAGCGACTGCAGCCCTCCAGCATGAGTTCATGAGCCCTAAGGGCACTGGGGGAGGGAGAAGAATATCTGAGATCTGACAGCTATTGGGCTGCAGCCACTCCCTATGGTGAACCCCCAGGGAGCCAGGGATGTGAAAAACACAGTATACTGGCCCAGGATAGCTGACTTGCATATGAAAGGAATGATTTCAGTGATCCCAGACTCTTCCATCTTTCCATACATAGAAAAACACAGAATTACTTAACTTGGGATATCTAGTTTTCTTTAATTAATAATAATCTCCTGATGTTCGGACTACCTGCCCTTTGTTGTAAAACTTCTATATAACCTCCTTCCCTCACCTCCTCAGAGCAGTTTTCTCAGGGTTACTTGAGATGCTGTCTCCGGGACTTCAAGTCCTAAAAATTCCTACTGAATGAAACATAGCTCTCAACTTTTAGGTTGTGGATATTTTTTTTTTTCAGTTGACAAAACCAACACAGAAGAAAGGAGGTTTGCGACAACTGCAGAGATGGAAATGAAATTGGATGACATTAACATCTAGCTCCAGACACCTAGGCTAGACTTTGCATTAACATCTAGCTCCAGACACCTAGGCTAGACTTTGCAGTCACTTAAGCTGATAAATTTCTTTCTTTTTCAAAAAATTTTTATTTTCTGGTTGCACCATGGAATCTTAGTTCCATGACCGGGATCAAACCCACATGCTCTTCTTTGGAAACACAATCTTAATCACTGGACTACCAAGGAGGTCTTCCTTCCTTTAATTTTTTTCTTTAGTTTATTTGTTGAGTCAGGTGGTTGTGATTTTCACTCCAAAGGATCCCTACGTGGTAGACCTGCAGAAACCTGAGTTGAATAAGAAATATCCAACTATTTTTAGCAAAGGGTATGTCTGTCTCAATTGTTGACCTGTCCTTTCAGCTGCAGTAGGACCCAGCCAGCTTTACTCTCACCTCCACCCTCTCCTGTCCTTAATTCATTTCTTCACATGTTGACCTGAAACAGGAAATCCACACATGACCTTCACGTTCTTTTAGACCATTTTTTTTCTTACTTGGGCACTTGGGATTACATTTTCAAAAAGCCCCAGCAGAAGTCGAGTGTCAAGAGACTTTCCTGGTAGTCCAATGGTTAAGATTCTGTGCTCCCAATGTAGGGGACCCAGGTGCAATCCCTGGCCAGGAAACTAAGATCCCACATGCCACTCAATGAGGTTAAAAAAAACATGGAGTGCCAAATAATGATAAGTGACTGGCTTCCAAGAAAGTTATATATTTAAAGTACAGCTGCAAATGTATATTTTCACCTACAATTTACTGCAGGGAAGCAGCTGTCTTCTGTACCATCTGCCCCTTTTTGTTGTTAATCAAGTTTGCATTTTTCATTTTTATCAAACAGAAACATGTTTATGCTCCTGTGTCCTAGGACAGGGTGAAATTTAGCTTCATCGACATTCTGATTTAAAACCATCAACTTGGCAAATTTTACTCTCCATCAGTTTAAGTACATCTACTTCGAGCACTTTGAAAATCACCTTTTTTTTTTTTGTTTGATGATGCTAGTCACAATTCTACTTCACAGAACAATGTCCCTGTTGGGGTGGGGGTGGTCTGTATAAAAGAACCTTGTCTTTTACATAAGTGATCTTTAAAAGTTTGTTGTTAAGACTCAGGAACTAACTCCTACAACTAGTAAACCATTTGGAACCTTGGTTCCAAACACTTTCTAAACACTTACTTTCAATCAACAGGATACAAACCTTCTCCTCTCCCCCTACCTCCAGTACACCACTAATCTATGTTCCATGTCTACAGACTTGCCTAATCTGGGCATTTCATGTAAGTGGACTCATACAATATGTTTTTATTTATCTATCTTTGGACTAACTTCTCTCCCTTAGATACATAAAGGAGACATGCTTATGTTCACCTGGAGGCCTGTACAAAATCATTCATTGCAGAATCGTTCTGAGTAACCACCGTGGGAAATGACATGGGTTATAGTACGTAAAACACAGAGGAGATAAACTAATTGTGCTTATTCATACCATGTTATATACTGAGCCAGCAATTCAAAATAAACTCTTGCTTCTCATAACAACCTCAATGAATACAAATACTATTCAGACATAATATTCAGCCAAACACAAAGGAGTTCAGAC